GCTTCACCTTCTGACCACTAGAGGAAGACCACTGTTTTCCTCTGCAAGACCAAAGCCCTTTCAGTACTAAGATTTTTCTTCCCATGAAGAGACTCACTAAACCAGTCACCTTTCAGTCTTTTGGATACTTTCAGCAGACTGTGGTCATGAAATTTGTCAAGGCCAGACAATTTCTCCAGTCCTTAAATCATTTCATGTGGCTCTTTTCCCCTACACTCTCCAAATTTCAACATCCTTTTCAAATATGGATGCCAGCTCCAAATGCAGCATCGCAAATTACCTCTTTACCTCTACTCAGTATTTCCCAGTTTATTTCAGGGAATGTATTAGCACTTTTGCATAGTACATTGTTCTAACAGCTCCTGTTTGGCTGCACACCCACCGGGGCACTTGAATTCTCCACCCCTCTCCTATCACTTACAGCAAATTTCATTGCATATCTTTAAGGAAAGAAGGTAAGAAATGATTTAAAAACATGTTACATACATGTAACGAAGACCTCAAAGCCTTTTGCAACATGTGGAGCAGAGCCTTCTTGGAATTGCCCCTCAAGCCCTCAGTTTCTTCCTCCCGTGGCCCACTGCAACAAACCTTGCCCTATATTTTAATATTGATTTCAGTAGGTTTGGTTTGACGCAACCCTGGAATCTCCAATGTATACAAATTTAGGAAGTGAAGGATCTGTGAGGAATGAAGTTCAGGACAGCTGGATAAGGAAGATCTGGAGCCCCAAGCACTCAGGAGGAGCTGGAGTCCGTTTTGTGTTTCTACATCCTGTGTTCAGCTAAGGCTCTTGGTAAGAGGGACAGAGTGTAACTCATAAAATTCATGTTCTCTTGGAAAGAATGATAATTGGTATTATTTTTATGCAGAACAGTGAATTACCCAAGTTCTATATAGCAAATATTGCGGGACCGACACATGGCTCTATCTAGTTTTGCAGCAAGAAAACCAAATCAAATTAGCTGCTTTGGCTTCTCGCTTCACACCAGGTGAAGGTCCTTGTCCTCTGATTGCTCATAAGTAACAAAAACCTCCAAGTTGCCACAAGGCCTGTTTGTCTGTGCTTCATCCAGTTCACCAAACCAAGTCCAGCAGTTGTTGCACACTCATATACCTCCACAGCACACATCTCACCCTGGCATATGCTGTCAATGCCTCAGCGTTATTTGGCGTGCGAGCCTGAAGAAGATGCCTGAAGTCATTAACCATTTAATATTGGTTGTTTCTAGAGAAAAGATGCTATGATAACATATAACTGCATGCTTTTCTTAATTTTGTTTTGTTCTGAATGTCAACTCTGAAGCTTCATCCTGGCACCAGAGAGCTGCTCTGTGGTCAGTTTGGCTTGTTCAGCCTCACTAGTAATTGAGACTTGCAGCCGAACTCTCTTTGTTCTTTCCCAGCCCATCCCAGGGGCTGTCACTGAAGAAAAACAGGGATATGTAAGGAAAGCATCTGGCCAGGCCGTCTATCAGTATCAGTGTTATTGATGATGTATGAGCCAGAGCAAAATCCAGCTCACAAACCCAGAACTGGGCCAGCTTGCCAGGACTGAAAAGCAAAATAAATAAACAAATATATATATATTTTTTAAAAAGACAAACCTTTATTTTGTCAAGCAGCTTCAGCAGTAAGTACATTTGGAGATTGGCTTTGGTGAGTAGAAAGGTACTCTTGTAGAGCTCTGATAGAATTTATAGATTTTTGCTATGCAAAATCATAACAGAACTTGGCTTTGAGCTCCTCAGCATCTATAGAATAAGGCAATGTGGTACTGCATCCCTCCTATCTATCGTAGAGGGACAAAAACCTGCCTCTCGTCCAAGGAGACAGAGTATTTAATTCTTGATACTCTTGCTAATAAAAACAGGAAACACCTTCCTGTATGGGAACTGCTGAGTCACGGCCTGAACCTCTGATTGATCACCTGAGGCGAGCCATGAGCCAGCCAGAGGAGCACAGGTGAAGGCAATTCACCTGTGCTGCCGGAAGGGGTGGAGCCTGGCCACCCCTCCTAGACCTATTTAAGAGCTGGCTACCAGTGGGGAAAGATCTCTTCTGGAGATTGCCTCTATTGGTGTTTGTGGTGAGCCCAGACTAAGGGTAAGCCTTCCATTTTATTCTCTTTTGTTATCATTGTCCACTTCGCCTAACTCTCTTGATTATATTGTGGTTGTAACATCTTGATATCCATTGATTATACACCTTCCCTAGGAAAGGTTGTTTTGGTTTTTTTGCTTCTGTTTTTCCCTTTCTTCCCCACCAGTCCTTATATCACCTAAAAGAACATTTTCAGACTCAGATCCAAGAGAACTCTTCACGTTTTTTTGTGCCCTGCAAGACTTACTATCTGTGAGAACCATCCTAAGTCACGCTTTGGGTAAAGGTGGTACTGAGAAGGCAGAAGAGCTTCCTGGGAGCCCTCTTAAATGGTGCCACGGGGTTTCAAAGCAACGAGACATCCACAGGCTGATGGCAAGAGTGTCAGCAGCCAGCTAAGTTTACTGCTGGGTCAGCAGCTCCAAATTAGGATGTGCTGGTCTGAGTTCCCTGTTTTAGGATAACCCGAAGGAACATAGCTCTGACCTACATGGCACTCTCCTCCTGCTCAGTAGTGAGGTTTATATTACACTATTCAGAAGTAGCACACCAAACTTCATTCCTGTTTAAAAAACAAAAACAAACAAACAAAAAAAAAAAAAAGAGAGAGAGAATGCAAGACTCCAGCTAAGTCTGAAGGCTGTTCAACACCCGTTAGTGACAGCTTTTCATCCATTTAAGTGTCAGCACAGAAAAGGGCATTTCAGCCAACAAATGCTTCAAAAGGAAAGAGATTCATCCTCTTTTGCACACCTTCTGCTTTTTAAACGCAGTGTTCCCTTGCATGGCCCACTTTCCAGTTGGATGGGGCTAAACAGCTATTAAATTAGGAGATCCCAGCCCATGTGACCCCTAGGTCAGCAGGGCTGGACTGCACCACCACATTAACACACAGGGCACAATGAACTGAAGTGGTCCAGCACCATGACAGTCTCCTTGGGTCTGCTAAGCAGGTCTGGTACAGACCAAACCCCAGGAGAGGCTGTTTGCTACGAGCTGCTCTATGAGGCCTGTGCCACTGCGTCCATCCGTTGGTCCTCCCATCAGCCCTGGGATTACACAGGCAGCCTCAGCCCTCTGGGTTTTACAGGCTGAAAAGCAAGCAGGCAGGTTCTCAGCTGGTGCACAGCAGCATAGCTTCACTGCAAGCAGAAGAGCTGTCCCACTTCACCCCAAATGGATCTTATTCTGAGGAAGGTGAAGAGATGCATTGCAGCCACTCACAGGGCTGTCGGCATCCCTGTTCAGCAGCACAGCCAGTGTAGCTGGAAAACACACAAAGTATAAAGTCTTGCTCCCAACAGCGAAGCAATGCAGAGGACTGGTCCTCAAAGCCAGCCAGAGGCTTTCTATTCCCCTTAGCAGCTATAAACCAACATCTTCTCTTTTTCAGAGCCTTCAGCTGTGGTTGCCCTTCAGACTTCACCACCAGAGGATGCCAGCAGAAAGGCAAGGGCTCTGCTGCCCCATTTGCTGATTTTTACATACACAAGAGACCTACCTCCCACACTTTAGCTACTGTGTGAAGGCCAAGCAAAACCGTTACGGCCCTCCCAAGGCATTTAAGCAGAAATACAACATGTGTGCACAAGAGACACTCATGTTGGGAGGTGCAGGACCCCAGTTGTACATACCTCCAGGAGGCATGCATACAGAGGGAAGTTCTAAAAATGCCACTCATGGCACAGACTTAGCTAGGCAGAGCGAACATTTTGACTGAAGAACATCATTGAAGCCATCTGACATGCTGCCTGCATCCATAGCTTTTAATACAGATTAACTGCTGTGGCTGAAACAAAGGAGAAGGCGCGGTGTACAGAAAAAAAATGATACCCTTTTATTTGTAGAGCTCTGATGAAACAACTTTCCAAATGCCATCCCATTTAAAAAACAATGGAAACCAACCTAACGATGTGTCAGTCACGCTATACAGATCGCATCCTAAACTTCAAAGATGCCTAAATATCTTATGGAGTATTTACATATGTATCGGTTAGGTAGTAAAGTTTCATTGCAGTTTGTTTCTTTCCAGTACAGGCTTCTTCAAATGGCAAAAAAATAACCAACTGGGGATGCATTTGCTTTTTTGTACAAAACTTAGGAGCAAACAGCTAGGGCAATTTTCCTGAGAGAAGGCTTGTTCTTTGAAACTCCTGCTTTAGCAACTGGAAATACAGAAAGTGGATGGGTTTTGTTGCACTAAAAAGCCTAAGGATGCCTAGTTAAGTTTTTCTTTTAAATTATTTACGTACCATTAAGTTAAAATGTTTACATTCATTCATTCGTATAAAAACCGTTGTTAAATCTTATGCAAATGATTTAACACTGATTGCTGCAACGCAAATTGCACTTCTTTTAAAAAAAATTATTGTATATATGGAAGAAAAAATATCTGATTGCTACCCTGTTTACAAATTTTGACTGACTCTATACAGTTCAGCCACAAAATATGAACTTTCATAAACCTCAGTCACAGTGTACTTCAAAAGTTATAGCGCAGTCTTGCAAGGTGAGTAAATATCTTAAACAAGAACAAAATGTCCTTCACCAGCTCGACCCCGTGAGGTTTGTACCAAAGGCTGTGATTTTCTCCCCCGGGCATCGCTGGGCTCTGGCACAAGGGAGCAGAGCAAGGCAGGCACAGGATGGGTGAGGAGGTCAAATGTCCGGCTCTGGGCGCCCACGCTGACTCCAGCAGTACATGCTACCAACACTTCAGAGAGTATCTGGTTATCTCTAATAATTCAAGCCTCCCCAATGCTGACGGCGTCTGTCAAATTCTTGGGAGGAGAAGGTGATGAGAGAGTGAAAACAAATATACAATCAGAAAGGCAGCACTGCTGGATGAGTGAAGGTGTGTTTCTGGAATCTATCAATAGGTCTAGGTTTCTCTCTTATTTTTTTTGAGTGTGTATGGCTGCATTAGCTATTCCCCAGTGGGCACTTGCTTTCCCTACAGTTTTCTTGCATAGATGAGGATGAGGATGCTTCGGCAGAGCCTCTTAGGGGAACTGAAAGCCACCTCTGCCACCAAGGCACGGAAACAATTTCAGAGGAGCGTCCCTAGCCAGCACTCTCGCTGCCACCGCTCCGCAGAAGAAACCCCGCACGACATCTGGGGGCTGCTGCTCTGTGCCGGGATCCAGTTTGGCTGGCAGCGGGTCATGCCAGAGCCAGGGCACACCAATGATCCTGTCTGACAGACGCCGTCACCTCAGCCGTGGAGGTCAGGCTGACTCCTGTGTACAGCCCATCTTGACCTGAATACTTAAGGTTGCTGCTTTCGGGACTGGTGCTCTCTCCCGGGCCGGACATCACTGACGAGCTTGCCTGGAGAAGGATGGAAAGGAAAGGGAGATTTCACTGAGAGGGTAAGCTTTGCACTGCTTTCCTAAGCATTTGTGAAAATCCAGAGTTTGTGCTCAGCTCTTGAAACCACAGAAGACCACAGAATAACTGAGGCTGGCATCTGGCCCCACACCTGCTCAAGCAGGACCACCCTGAGCAGGCTGCCCAGGCCTGTGTCCAGGCAGCTGCTGAAGATCTCAAGGAGACTTCACAGCCCCAGTAGGCAACCTCTCACCACCGGCCCCCAAACACTGTAGCTGAATCAATATTTTGGGAACAGCCTCTTCATTTTCCTATGCTGGCAAGGCCTAACTAGGTTGAAAGCTGTGTTTGGAGGACAGTACAGTGGTTGTCTTCACAGCAAGGTGGAAAAGAAAGAGCATGACATGCAAGAAAATATGTGGAAATTAGACAGTAAGGGAGGAGGTGTGCATGATGAAGGATGCAGCGCATGTGTCTCACCACTCACTAATGAAGGAACACAGAAGCCAGCACCAAACATGTGACCCAGGTACGGTGGCACTTCTAGTTTTGCTCCCTCCATGGGAGAAGCCCAATGCATCCAGCAATGGGTGCTGAGCACCTCCTGGAGGTCAGATTTCTTTGTCTCCCGCAGCCTGTAAGACATCTAAAACCACTCCTCTCCCTTCAAAATGCTCACCAGGATCCCTTAATCCCCACAAGACTAACCACTATGGGAGATGCCTTTTTTATCTCAAGCAGAGCAACTATGCCTCTGACCCAGGAGCATGTTTGCTCCATGCCACCTACTACTACCACCTACACACTCAAAACAAAGCACAGGGAACCCTGGTAGGCACAGAGCTGAAGCTCTGACCAGCGCTGTAATCAGGTCATTTATTTTAATGGAGAGACAGGGAGTTGCAAAGACAAAGAAGCAATCATTTTTTCCATAAGGCTGAGCAGATCCACTAGAGAAAAATTTGCTGTGCCAGACAGAGAAGGGGCAACATTTTCACCTGATAAAGGAAATGTTTAAGAGCTGACTTCATGCAAAATTAACTCTTGGATACGTCAACTTTGAAACCTTAATTTACTTGTTAATGGATAGTCTTTGGACAGGATTCCTTAAAAAGAGGACAAAAAAAAAAAAAAAAAGACTATCCTAAAGTGTGATTGCAGAAGCTTCCTGCCTGCTGTTTAAGTGAAAAGTATACATATTTAATCATTTTACAAGAGTAGAGCTCTTGGCTCTCCTGGAGCTATGCCAATCTAGCAGTTCGTACATAGGAAAAGCGGGGTTTTGCTTATTCAAAGGCAGTTTCTGAGCTGCACTTCACAGTGCTTTTGTTGCTAACCCAGCTGAAGCTTCACCTGACAGAGGTACTCATTGCCAGCATTGCCAGTGGTCAGTTCTGTCTGAAACAAACCAAAGGCCAATACTTTTATTTTTCTCTTATTAAAATGTCTGATGGCTGCTATTCTTGCACCTAGTTTCGTCAGCTGTTAGGCCAAAATACAGAGAGTGAAGAAACAACCGCTGCTGCAGAAAACAGAATGACTCCAATTTGAGAAAAAGTATTTTTATATTATCCCTCTATCAGATACACAGTTACTGTTCAGTAACAACTAATCTCTGTATCCTCTTTATCTGTGCATAAGTAATTCAATGAGACAATTTTCACAAGAACCTTCAGGTCCATTTGTGGGTCTTGCATCAACCCAGGTTTTTTAAATTCACATTCATCGTGTGGACTTCTGTTGGCACCGCATACCTATTTTTTTTAACAGATTGAGTGCCCCCACACTGGAAGAAGGGTTTAAATGTGTTCAGCTTTAGCCAAAAATGCCAGGAGCCGCTTTGAAAGGTTCCTGTTTGCCCATATTTGCCGCTGTTGTTCCGGTAGGCAAATATCTTATCGCCGCCTATTTTTTCCGGGCTTGGAAAATGTAGTTTGCCCTTTTCCTGATTCAGTCCCACAAAGGTGGGGCACAGCACTCTGCCCTTTCCATACCGGGTTATCAGTTCCCCCTCCCTCTGGCACCCCAGAAGGGAGGACGCAGAGGCGCGTCCTGTTTGAAGGCCGCCCATCCCTGCCCAACCACGGCCGGATCCTGGCCCCATTGAGCCAGTGTGGGCAGGACCTGGGCAGGACAGCTGGGCCTGGAAACCCCACCCCAGTAATGTCGTGACAAATCCAGACAGCTCAGGCAGCTCCCAAAGTGAGACATGGAAAACAAACTCGTGAAAAGGAGGTGGCTGAATCTTTGAGCGAGGTGACCCAGGCCTGCCTACCTCCTACTTCAGCAGGGGAAAGGCAGCAGAAGGCTGATTGGAGATTAGAGGACATTTGTTAGCTGGAATAAATGAGCTGAACATTGCTGCTGAAGTCAAGAGGCTACTCCAGTTCACAACAGCTGGCTCAATCAATAAAATAATGGATTTGTTTTTATTGCTGGTATCTGATATTAAGAGAGATAATCAATGAAACTCAACTTCCTGAAGAAAAAATGATTGAAGTCCATTGGGAAGAACCTGCCTCCCGAACAAACATCTGTATCTGTAAAGGTGGTTGAAGGATCCCACCTTCTTTCTACACAAAGCAGCAGGAGCCAGTTATGGAGCAGCCTGCAGGCAAGTCATCTGGATCAGAGGTGACCTCTCTGCAGAGGATCTGCCCTCCATGCTCACAGCCAGACCCTGGCCAGATCCACAGAGGGATTTGGACACCCACATCCTCCCCAGTCCTGCTAGCCCGGAGCAGGAGCAAGCTGCTCAGCCCAGCAGTAGGGAAACATCCCCGGCTGGAAGACTCATTGTTTATTCTACCCACTCCTTCCTGCACCGTCTGTCTGCCATGGAGACCAGGGAGAGGGGAGGGTGCTGAAAGGCAAAGTCTCTGGTCAAAAAGTTGCGCTAACATCTGGAAGGGGTGGCTGAGAGCCTTGGTCTGAACCTCTGTTCTATCAGATAGACCTTTGCTCCTTCTGCTTCAAAAGTTTAAAACACTCCAGGAATTTTGGACATCACACTAGGTCTGTATCTCAGCCAATAGGCTGATCCCTTCCTCTCCTATTAGCACAGTTTAGCTTTGCTGCACTTAAATAATAACCGTAGTCAGCTGAAACACACTTGCAAAAACGTATTTCATGTATAATGTATTTTGGCAAATGGCAGTGAGCCCTTCATTTTCCAGTCTCAGCTTCCCATCGGTAACTGCCATCCCCACTTTCTCCAAATACTCTCTCTCCTTTCCAAACAGGGGTTTCAGTACTGCAAAACCACAGCTTTTCCCTGATTTAGTGACCCCCTTGCTACGCAAAGCTGTAATTTCTTGCTAGTCTAATTGATCCTTTTGTTTATATTACAGATGTGTAAGTTTACATATCTTCTAATCTCTCCTTTGTATTATAGCGACATAAATCTGTGGTTAATACTTCATTAATTTCCTAAAGGAGGCAACTTCCAGCATGGGTATGGGAAAGCTGATGACCCCACTGCTGATGAGGGCTGTTTGAGCAATTGGTTTCATTGCTTTTGCAATAAAGCTAAACAAAGCAAAATATATGCGTCTAAAACCATGTATAATGCTTGAGTAGAACAAAAAATACTCCTTATTCCTCGGTTTTCCCCACTGAAACAAAAAAAAGGATGGACTGCTTTGTTCTATGTGATACAAAAATAAATGCTTTCTCTTGAACACGTGTATACGCAGAAAAAAAAAAAAAGTGAACGGCTAAATTTATAAAACTGAGTGGGGAGAGGGAAGCAGAATCCTATTTTGTGCAAGAGCAAAGACTAATGCAAAAGAGGAAAGAGAATGTGGATTAATTCCCTGACAGGGAAGATTTGAACTGACATTTCATATCTCCTGCATAATGCCCTGACTACCAGACTATTTGGTGTTTTAGGTTGCCACGTTCCTCATGCCTCCTACTGATCTTATTCCACCTGCTTTAAATATTTACTCATACCAGGACTGAGGCACTGTGTTCTCATTTTCCAGGTAAAAGTCCTAACGACCGTGCTGGTGAGTCTTTCTCATCAAAGCTACCCCAGCAGCTAACAAATTACTCTATATTAACTGAAATCTCATCATCACGTAGTCTGAAGGACTCTCAGCCATTTAACTTTCCAGTGTCCAGGTGGCTGGGAAATATTTTTAAGAGGCTCATCCACACTCTGGGAGATACTGTACTCACATTGGTTCCCCTGTCCTATCAATCTGCTACCTAGAAGAGCGCAAAAATCAAAACCTCCAACAATCTCTCTCCAACGAACCCTCTTCTGAAAACAAAATAAAACAAGTATGTGAAAGCCAATCAGTGAATTCAGCTCAGGCTGTCTTGTCATCTGGGGAACGGCCAGAGCTGTATTTTTCTTCCTCCTTACCGACTGCAAAGGTTGGTTCCTTCAGCTCTCCCACTTTCCATACTACAAAACCGAAAAGCCAGTCCCGAAGCACTTTCTGCAGATCAGCCTCCAAGGAGGTAAACATATGTTTTACCTGCAAGATGCCTGTCCTGAGTTATTCTACAGTTACTCTGTGGCATGCAGTTACAGTCCTTCTCAGATAGCTCCCGATTGGAGTAAGGGGCATAGCACAGTCCTCTGCAAGAGGAGCTGCTCTGGTGCTGCTGAGCCTCTACTGACATCAGCTCTGGCTCAAAGAGCCTCCATGCCCTGCCATGAAAAGCAGATTTTACAGCAGTTTTCATCCTGCCTTTTGTCCTAATAAGGGAATAAAGCCCTTCTGGTAATCACATCAGTTGGAGCCCCTGCATGGAAATGTATGGGTGTGCACTAAAGACGGTGCCCCTCGTTTAGCAAATTATTCTGCATAGCTTTTCTCTGTGCTGTTTCACCAGCAACAAAGGGAAAGCAGGTATGGATGCAGATGCAGGCTGCCTGAAACCTTCTTTTTATGGGGATGTAAGGCAACTTCATATATCATGCAGCTGGGCCTTTTCCATATTAGTAACACAGGACTCCCAGTACTTACACTGCTTAGGAAAACAGAAATGGGCCTAAATCCTAGATCCAGATGTGAATTTGGCAAATAGCTCCTTTACAATGGGGCAACGAAATATCTCTGATCCGAACACTTTTACATTTTGAGATGTTTGAAATCAACTTTGCACCCATAGCAATTCATTAATCATATCTTTTAAATGTTTAAACTTCAGCTAGAACGTAAAATCAACATCTAAGGTTCTTGACAATTTCTCTTGAAATTGGCATCGCATAAAGTTCCCTTCATGAAATAGAGTGTCTCAAAGACATTTTGTTGAGTAATTGCTGCCCTCCTCTTTTTCTGCCCTCCCCTCTTTATTTTACTTTAAAACAGATAAAGAAAGGTAGGGCAAAAAGTGAGTATTACTGACACAAATGAATTCTGCTGAATTTCATTTCCATTATATTTTTACATAACTAGGAGCTCTTTTGGCAGCCTCCCACAAGAGACATAATAAATTACTTTTGTACCAGTAGAGGAATTCATTTTCTCTGTTTCATTTAGCAACAACATGGCAGTGAATTTCAGACGAGAGTTTCTAAAACGTCATCATATTTTTTCTGTCTAATGTTGATTTGGCATTTTTCCCTTTCTCGCAGAAGGGCCAGAGAAGAAAAAACAGAGTAAGGCAACAACAAGTTGCCATGTCAGTTGTGCAATGTGCAGGTAATGGACAAGTACACTCTCTGAACAGGTGCCCAGGTTACAGCAACATCACCCTTCTTGTTAAGGCAACCAAAGATTAGAGGGCCTGGATTCATCCATCCGAGGGCTTTTACCTCCTGACATGGCCTGAAGAAGCTTATTCTCCTCATGCAAAGCCACTGCCTGTGCTAAGAATAGACACGAACCTTCAGGCTATCAATATGCAAGCTCAAACATGGGGAAAAAAAAAAGGAAAATAGAAGTCCAGTAAAGTATCTGTGCTTCACACACATGATCAGATTAAAGGCTTCCATGTTCTAAAATGCTGCATTCCCTTCCCTCTTGACAGCTTCAATGGGCCTTAAGAGCACCCAGCTCACGGCGTTTTGGCTCACATTCTTCTCCATCCCACTGAATTGCTGATGCTTGAGATACAGCCCACCTCCATTGCTTCCTTTTACAGAATTTTTGCACACAAGAGATATTTTGCAAGTGCTTTGTACATGCAGGCCACATGTACATACATTCCAGGAGAATCATAGTAGAGAAAAAGCTATGACTGTCCTCTCTTAGCCTGATCTGCAGAAAAAACAGGGATGTGCTGGCCCCGGGGATGCCTTCATGTAAATAAGAGCACCCTCAGGGTTTCTGCAAGTCACTCATAGTTGCCAGCATCTCCCAGCTCATCTTTTGCCTTGGGAACACTCAGCTCTCTCTCCTCTTTCACGCACACAACTCCTCCTACTAAAATCATATCACAAACTGTATCACTAAAATGATAAAAGAAATATCACTAATATCGGTGCTGACACACTGTCCTAGAAAAAGAAAACAGACGACAGCCAGCCAAGAAATTGGCAGCATGGGGAAAAGGGGGTCTCTCCATAAGGTCTCTCCTTCCAGAGGAGTGCACAGCTGCACCACCTACAGCCCACACCTCTGAGACTCCGGGTGCATTTTGCCGTTAGTTCTGCCCATTGTATAAATCACACAACATTCCTCAGATCAGTAAGCATCCAAAGGGAAAATCTGGCTGATTTTTTTTCCCTTTGGAAATATTAGGGGAGAAATTAAAAAATAGTATTCAATGCAGAGAGCACGAAACCCGGCACAGTGCACTTTTTGGTTACTGTTTATCCCTTGTTTTTTGTTTTTTGTTTTTTTGTTTTTTGTTTTTTCCCCAAGTGATCTGTTTATTTTATTGGACTGTCAGGGTTTTCTCATTGTCAAAGAGGAGCCCTGTTAATAATATCTTTGCCTGACAGCATCAGAACCAAAAACCCAATGCTTCTGAAACTTGGTGGCCCTGCCAGCCAACAAACAATTGCATCTGCTAAAATTGCTTTCTGTTGTTTCTTTCCCTCTGTACAATGAAACTTTGAATGTCAGCAATTGAACTACTAGATTTAATAGAAACTGGGATGTGGGAGTGCTGGGACATATTGAAAAATACTTATTATAAACAGTGTTTTCTTTTTATTAAAAAAGAGAGAAAGTCACATTAGGAAAGCTTTTGAAATAAATGACGTGGTAGATTGAAGGATATGAAGATCAAAAGGAGTGTGGATATGGGTACGTGTAGCCAAAAGGTTAAGAATTAATCTGTATAAAGGCGTGCAATTTTAACAGTAGTATTTGTTATCAAATGTGATAACTGAGCGAAGAAAGGCAGTCTGAGATGGTATGAGCATGTGACTCAAAACTACTAGAGCTCATGGCTGTCAGAGGCTGAGCACCCAACCCTGGAGGAGCCCTCTGCTAGCAGCAGGCTGATGCACACACACTGCAGTCAGCTGGCATCCTCTGCCTGCTTTCAGCTCAGTCTGAGTCCGAGTGTAGGAATAAAGCTGAGTTTAAACCAAATGGCATTATGCTTCCCTTCAAACAGCAGGACAAACTCTTATCAGAGAGCATTTCAGAAAGAAACAGCATGTGCATAAATGTTTCTTGAAAGGATCAACTGGGTACGGTTTGTTGGTTTTGCTTCAGAGAAAAACCTTTGAGAGGGAAATAAGCAAAACACTTCAATACAAAAGGGCTTGGGCTAAGCCATGCTTAACTTAATCATAAAAATTATATAGATCTTAATTAAGGGGTTTGTAAAGTACTTAAGCTTGTCGATCTGTTTACAGCTATATGTGATATCTTCCGAAAATCTTGTTCTAGTATCAGCTAACAAAAGTGGAAAGTTTATTTAGATTATTGTTCTGCTAGATAAGATAAAAGTTGTGATAACACCGCGCAGTGATCAGCCTGCTTAGCAGTATGGATGCTGCATCAGTACTCACCCCCGAGGCTGCCGGCTGTGTGCTTGGGGAGGCATTTTTGCTACAGTCATCTGAGTTAGTAGAAGACGTGGATGTTGGAGTCATAGGAACTGCAGTAGTACTGTTACCTGAAAGATCAGGGTCCGGCATTAAAAACAAGAATTTTCCAGCCAAGGAAAAAAATTCTAGCATCTCAACTATCTTATTTTTTCATATTTACCAGAGCATGCCTTTGACTTATTTATGTTCTTAGGTTTTCGTTTCCTTGTCTGAATTCCTTCTTTCTTCATAGCAAGCGGTCGGGGAACCTGAAAAGAAAAAATTTCCACACCAATCTTAGAGCTGTGCTTGTGCTCTAGTGACCAAAAATCAAAACTAGACTATAAGAGCAAAGAGAGATGTTCGAAACGCCTGTTCAAGTCATTTTTCCAGTCACAATGTAGCAATTCCAAAAAACATTGTATTTTATTTGAGCAAAACCATGAGTTGTTTCAAGGGGAGTTTTATCGGAATAAAGAAGTGGGAAGAGGTTTTTGTTGATGTAGGCTAAACAGCTTTTCCAACACCTCAGTCGGTCCACAGATTAACAGCACCAGTTTAAAGGAAAAAAAAGCACTGTTTGGCCATAGGTCATACGACGTTAAACTGGACTGGATGTATCTGATCACTAATTCCTTTTCCCAGTCAGTTGGGGATTATCTTCAGAAGTTTGTTCTGGAAAGCAAGAATGCAAATGAGGGGAAAAATTCTCCTCTCCTTGCAGACCAGCTATGCGAACCAGATCAACACCAGTAAGCTTTTTAGGACAGAAGCTTCACACCACAATCAGCGTGGCATTTGTTCTTATAAGCAATTCTGCATGTGATACAGGTTTAGAGTATCCAAATTTATGTCTGTAGAGAAAATGATTCATAGTTTCATAGTGATTATACAGAAAACATTGGCTTAAGATGTATTTTCACTTTATGATAACATGAGTTTGGAAAAATACAGTTCAGCCATGTGCTTATTATCATTACCATGTTTAAACCAGTGATAAAATTTACGTTTTTTTCAAAGGCTGGACCACGTACCAACCACTCCTAACGCCCACTTTCTTCAAACACATGTGCTCAGCTTTAACATAACCCAGTGGGTCGTCGTGGTCTCCAAGTCTCAAACCATATTCCATCACATTCAAGTTATTTTCTTCCTGGATTATTGCCTACCAAGGCTGAAATCGCATATAAAGTTTTGCTGGCATACCTATGGTTGTAATTACATTTAAAATTTTGCCCGTCCAGACTATGAAAAGCTATCATATTAAATGTCCAGTGTTTTTTTCCCTGTCTGAAATCATGGTGACAAAAAGACCTCTGCCAATTATCCCAAGGCAGTTTCTTCATACATATCTATACAAATTTGCAATGACAAATCCCTGTCATTGCACTGTCAACACCATAACTTGCTAAAAGGAGAGAACCAATTTCCAGTGCCATTTTCAGTCATTTTGTCAATTTTATACACCTCTATCCTTTTTTTTCCTAACTCCATAGTCCAAGACTATTAGAGTCAACAGAAACTTTGCCCTGGCTTTGGGAAGCCAGATGCCACCCACATGCTGTGCCCAAAGCCGCTGCAGGGACAAACCTTCTGCCAGCACTCACCAGAGCCTGGGGGACAGGGCAGCCAGGCGTGAGGGGACATGGTGCACAGGCCAGAGGGAACATGGCACCTAGGCCAAAAGGGACTTTCTTACCCCGTGAAGCTTCATGTAGAGGCCGCATGCGTTGCAGACGGGCTCGCCCTCGGCGTTCCGGCGCCAGAGGGTGGTGGTGGTAGTGTGGCAGTTGGCACAGGACAGGCCGAGTCGCCGCGATGAGGGCTGTGGGCATGGGGAGGCAAACACACGTAAACAGGTGGGCAGGAGCAGATGGTCGGTGTTTTTGCAGTTGACATTCAAAAAGCAGGGATGGCGGGGGGCTTTTTTATAACATTTCTAAAGGATATCCTAGAAGTGACACAAGATTATCCTCATTTTCAAGGCTGGAAAGATGGTTGGAAGGGCCTGCAAGTCACACTTGGGAATCACCGACTTGGGCCTCCACTGAGACCAGCGGGTGTTTCTCCAGCAGGACAGACCACAACACTGCCGCACCAAACACCTCCCTGCAGTCCCCAGCAATGCCATGATGCCTCCCGGGACGCAAGCAGCAAGCCTGGGCTTAGGCAAGGGAGAGGGGCCGAGGACAGCTTTTAGAGAGTGCAACACATCAAAAAGCATCACTTTGTGGAAAGGCTTCCTTATCATGCTGTGCTATGTTATCGTGTGAAAAACAACGTGTCTCAGGAACAAGTTTTACAGAGGGAGCTTTCCCTCGGCCATCAGAAAAGCTGGTGTGGGACAACAAGGTCCACACTGCAAATAAGCCATTTATGGCACTCTTCCGTGGAGTTTGGAGCCAAGATGAGGCAACCCGGTATCAGAAATAACCGCATAACCTGGCGCTTTATGGCTGCAGGCTGTATATCATAAGTGAAGGCAGTCCTCATAAACATGTGAAATGAAGGTGAATGGGTTATAAAAGTTCCTGTAACAAGTGATCTCTTTTACGTTCATCACAAGCAAAGAATTCCAGCTACATCGTAAATCTATTATTTTTCAAAGTATCGCATTGTCAAAAAAAATATATAAAAAAAGCTGCGACTGGCTCTGTCTGGCAGCCAAACGAGTTTACGTGGAAAAGTCAGCTTTAGAGAATTGCATTAATCTTATTTTGACTATAAAGCGCCCATAACTGAAATGACTGAGTTGAGGGTACTATGCCCTTCCTCTTGAATCATTTACTGCTGGGTTGTTAGGCACAGCTCGGTCACCTTTGATACCACAGAGCCGCCTGCCACTTGGGAAACACACAGCGATGCTTTCAGCATGGAGAATATTCCAGAGTAATGACTGAGTTTCTTGAATTTGGGCTGTTTCAGTTTCTTTCACGGGAAATTTGTCATTCTAATCTGCGGCTCAGAGCGAGCTCCAGATTTAATAGGATTTGTGCAACTTTGGAGCAGTAATTCATTATTAATTGCACAATAATAACAATTAAAAAAAACAACCAAATATAAGACAGGCTGAAATATATACATATACTTTCTAATCTGAAAAATCCAATTCTCACAAAAGCAGAATTTGTAGTTTCAAATGCATATAAATACGCTGCCCACTGTGCTCCGCAATTCAGTACGAGTTTCACACGGAACAGGTTATAAAAAAAGTTGGTTGTAACACATATGTTGTATTTTCTCTCTTCGCAAGCAAAATGCCATTTCACTGCTAAATCCTTCTGTCTTTCGCATGCAGCCTGGTGTAAATCTTCCTTAATTTTATTTCTGTAGCTTTGCTCATTCCTCTATCTAAACAAACGAGAGTTTTGGGGCACGTTTTGAAGCTAAAATGGCTTTTCTGCCGCAGGAATTTTATCAGAAACTTCAGGGAAATCTAAACATGTTTAGCATTTTCAAAACATTTTCCCTTCTCACCTACATATTTCCAATGGCGTGAGCACGCAGCCGCCTCTGATTTATAGCTCTGGCCAGTGTGCTTGGTGCAGAGTGTTGCACAGAGCTATTTCAGAGTTATTTAGCCGAGGTGTCGGGCTGAAATCAGGCTGCTGCCTGACTCTGATTTGGTCTCCTCAGCTCTCTCCCCCCTCAGAAATGGTGAGAAGGGTCGGGAAGAGGTACGAGCCCATCGAAATCTGCACCCAGCCACGGTGCCGCGCGTAGCTGAGCTTCCCACTAAGGAGATAAAACTTCCTGCAGTGTGATTTGGTGCACGGCCAGCTACAAATACACAGGCACCAAGCGGCAAACAGTTCCTGCCCCAGCGCTACATTAGCTTTGTCCCTTTAATCAGAGGTGAGGTCGCTTTGGGAACAGGGAACTGTCCGCTCCCTGAGTGTCCGCTTTTTGCCTTCCCCCATTAAAGGCATTAAATTCAGACCGTTTTGAAATAAAGGGTGAGTTTAAACGCTACGAAAATAGGGACGGACTGGAGCAGCTGGTTTGATTGAAAGGCTCTTGAAGGGTCGATCGCTTTGCTACGCCGTCTCCGTACACAAGGGTCCAACCATCAGCTCGGATTATAGTGGTGTGATTTATTGTGGCTCGCTCCTAACAGCCATTACCAAGGCACGGATTCTTTTTCCCCGCTGACCTCCACCCAGATTTGCTAAACATAATGTGCAGTTCCCACTTGGTAAATTCTCTCCTCACCTATTCAGTGCCAGCCGGAGCTATAAACAGGGGCTCTGGTTTGTACTATTTATTTCCCTCCCCCTGGTTTTAGGAAGATATTTTTAGAAAAATTACCGCTCATTTCTTAGGAGTCAAACAAAACAAAGGCTATTATCGTCGTTTAAACAATTGCTTTTCTTTGAATTATATACAAAACTTGCTTACGTTCCCAAGGATCGAGCTCTCGGCAAACAAAGCAGGTCTGCAGAAATTCCTAGCGCTCTCAACAAACACTTTCCAAACCCAATTACTTTTTTTTTTTTTTTTTTTCTCCCAACCCTTTTGGAAACTTTGGAAGTAAACCTCCTCACACCGATGGGCTCCACTAATGCAAAATAAACGCCAAACACCTGTGTATGGGCAGAGGGTCCCAAAGAGAGGCCTTTTGCCTGCGCTACCAGCGCGCTGGCCTCCGAACTGGGACACCTCAGTGGCGTCCCTACGTCTCTCGCACCCAACAACCGGCCCGCAGTCCACACTCACCACTCTCTTTTGGGGTTTGATGAGAGGCCGGCTGAGGCCATTCATTTTGGTGTAGAGCCCGCAGGCGTTGCACAGGTAATTCCCGGTGCCATCCCTCCTCCAAAGCGGGGTCTGGATGGAGCCGCAGTTGACGCACTCGCGGCTTTCAGAGAGGTCTTCCAGCAGCTCTGCGGACAGGAGCAGGGCACTGCGATGAGGCACGGCCGAGCCATTCCCCCGCAGGCCCCGAGATTAAAGTTTTTAAAATTCCCCCCCACACCACCTAATTTGTCGTTGTTGTTGTTTTCCTTTAATCCCACCAGGTTCCTAGCGCAGCCGCTGCTGCCAAAACGCCCTGCCGAAATGCCTTGCGGCAATGCCCTGCCGTAACGCAAGCCGAAGGCTCCTGTTCTTCGCCCCCAGCTCCGAGCCCACCTGCGGGCCCGGGGCGGCTTTGCTCGGTGTCCCCGCCGGGCACGGAGCCGTGCAGCTTTCTGGCGGAAAGCGCCCAGCGAACGGGTACGGCTTCGACCTGAGGGAGCCCAGTCTCCCAGCTACAAAGGGGAACGAACGCTTAGCTTATTTGGTTCAATTCGTCCTCGGCGGGAGAAAGAGGGGGAAATGGAAAAATCGGCGGTGTTGGGCCACAATGTTCCGAAGGCTGCGGAGCGCTGGGAGAGCGCTGAGCACGGCATGGAGCAAAGGAAACGCGAGTGTAAAAGCGAACACCTTCCCCCTGCGAATCTCCGTGCTTTATCTATTTTGGGGGGGGGGGGAGGGGGGGGGAGGGAAAAAAAAAAAAAAAAGAAACGGAAAAAAAAAAAAAAACCCACTCCAAAACGAAACTGCACTAAATACAAACGTTGCTTACACCGCTCCGCGCTGAGCGTGCAAACGCGGAGCGCTGCGGCTGCCCCGCGGCACTGCTCGGGCAGGGAACGGCCCTTCGTTGTGCGCGGCTAAGGGGGATCGCAAAGCTGCGGAGCGCAGCGTCCGCACTGATCCATCCCCACACCAAACCCCAGGCCGATGTTCCACGGGCGCTGGAATCATTGTTTGATTTGTCTCTCTTCCGTAGTTCCCTTCGTGCCGACCGAAAGGAATTGTGCTCTGATCGCACTGCCCGGCCTTGTTTTTTTCTGTGTTTTTTTTTTTTTTTTTTAATTTATATACATTGTTCCTCTTAACTAGTGAGAAAAATATTTCTCTCCGTGGAAAGCAAAAATAAAGCTTTGATTTGAAATTACTTTTTGGTAGCCCTACGAATAACGTTAAGTTAAGCGGCATCAGATCGCCTCGTGTTTTGTTAGAACCAAACCAAACGAAAGCGATCCCTGCGGGCTGCTGTGGGCTGCCCGTGCCACTGCCGTGCCCGACACAGCGCACTCCGGAGCCCTCCCACCGACGGGCAGCCCCGGCCCGCGCTCCGCCGCCCCGACAAGGGCTCTATGGGAACGGGAGAAAGCCCGAAGCGGGGCAGAGTCGAAGCCCACCGGGCTCCATCGGCACTGCCCCTTTTCTCCTTCCCATGTCCCGTCTCGCCTCCTCCAGCCCGATAAAGTCTTTACGCGTTTTTATTTGCTGTTATTTTCCCCTTAGCTTTACGCTGCGGTGTAGGGAAATCGTGTACAAAGCGTTTGTTAAAACTTCGGCTTTGCTCTGCTCCGTTCCTCCACCGCTTCCGCCTCACCGCGACCCCCGCGAGCAGACGCCGAGAGGAGCCTTCGTACGTCCGACAGCCGCCCGGTGCCACCGGGAGACGGCGGGGACGGCACGGGGGGCAGCGGCACGGCGGGACGGAGCGGGCAGAGGGGGTGGGCCTGGGGCTGCCCGGGAGAGGGAGAGTGCGGGTGTGCGTGCACGTCTATGCGTACATCTATCCCCGTACACAGGTATATATCAGTATATATACCCATATATATAAGTATGCAGAGACGTGCATATAAGCATATATATATATACATATATATATACACACATCTATACTATAAATATACATACGTACACTCGCACAGTCCCATCTCTCCCTACACACACTCACTCCTACCCCTACAGACACCCCCTAAAGCCGCACAAACGGCAGCGATCGTCACACCGCTGCGATTCCAACAGAGATTCCCCCCCGCATCCCTCCACACAGCAGCACTGTGACACCTCCGGAGCGATCGGGACATCCCCGCACGGCAGCAGCGCGGGTGCCCGTTCTCATCGACGGAGCGAGGCTGAGTCTCGCTTTCTTTAAAACATATATAGATATTGGGTGTTTGGGTTGTTCGTTGTTTTTGTTTTTGTTTTTAAACGAAGTAACGAAAAGCTTTGCGGATGAAATTATTAAGTAGTCCAACCGATAAGTAATTCAGCAATTAAGCGATTCGATCATTAATTTGATAATCCTGTAGTTAAGAACGGGCTCGCACTCGGGGACGGCAGAAGACCCCGCATCCCCCTGCCCCCTCCTATCCCGGCACCGTTCGCTTCGCGACCGCCCCGAACGAACCGCCGTTCCCGGCCGCTCCCCCCAGACCCCACGCGGCCGCCGGCGGCCCCTACCTGCGCTGGGAGCCCGCACGGGGATGGGCGCGGCGCGGCCCTGCAGGCAGTGCAGCACGGAGTTCTCGAAGGGCGCCGCGGGCCAGGCGGGGCCGAGCTGCGGCCCCACGTAGGAGGCGTAGGGCGCCGGGTAGGAGCCGTTGAGCGGCCGCGGCAGCGCTCCGTACTGCTCCCTCGCCGCCAGGCCGCCGCCGTACTGCTCCCGCGAGGCGCCGTTGGCCACGGGCGGGCTGGGCGAGTAGGGGAAGCGGCCCGAGGGGTGCGCGCCGCCCGCGGCGCCGTACGAGGGGCTCTCGGCCGCCGGCTGCGACCAGACGTGGCCGGCCGGAGCGTGGCCGGGCTGGGCCGCTCCGCCGCCCTGCAGGTAGGGCAGCGTGGGCAGCACGGAGCCCACGCGGGTGGTGGGCACGTAGACGGGCGAGCTGGGCGCGGAGTGCATGAAGCCGCCCGGAGATCCGTCGTAGGGCGCGGGGCCCTGCGAGGCCGAAATGGCCAAGGTCTGGTACATCGCCGGCGGCCGCTCCGAGTCCGGAGGCAGCGAGAGCGACGGCGGGACGTCCTCCTCCCGGCGGGCGGGCCGGCCGGGAGCGGGGGCGGCCCCGAGGTGCGGCGGGGCGGGCCGGGAGCTGCCGCCGGTCTCCGGAGCGGGGGTCCCGGAGGTGGAGGAGGGCGAAAGAGGCGCCCGGGCGGCGAAGGGGTACGAGGACGCAGCGCACCGCTCCGCCGCGCGGCAGCCGCCTTCAGCCACGGCCATGCAGCTCCGCTCTGCGCGCTGGGTGGGGACGGGAGGGAGGAGGGAGAGGGGAGGGGGTCCGAGGCGGGGGGGGGGGGGGGGGGCGGGAGGAGGAGGGGAGGGGGGAGAGAAATGACAACAACAACGTTAGCGCGGGGCGGCCGTAACGGGACCCGCCGGTTCCCGTCCGCACCTCCGCGACCCACAGCTGCCGGGGGTGCAGGGGGACGGGGGTGCGGCAGAGCTCCTTCCTCCGTCACCGCCGTCCTTACGATTCCCGGTGCGATGAATGAGTCATCTGACAATGTTCCGCGGTGACAAGCACCGGGAAGGCGATCGCTCTGAGGTTACTTCGCGCATCGCCTCTATCGTTCGCTCCTTCCCAGCACGGGGAGGCGGGAAAGCGGCCGGGAGGGGCGCGGGGCCGGAGACAACGGCTGCAGGGACAGGGACCGGGATGGCCCCGAGCCCTCCGCCGCATCTCCGAGAGGAGACGACGATGTCTCTGAGAGGGGGCACCCGTAGGGACCGACACGCAGATGGGCGCGGAGCGCGTCTCTCTCCCGCCCGAGATAAGCGGCAGATAAGGGCCGGCAGCTAGATAAAGCTGCGGCCCCGCCGTCGGATGTTTGCCCACGAACCTCCCTCGGGCTCCCCTGGTGGAAAGCGAACGGAAAGGAGCGGGAAGAACGGGGGCCCAAACCTGCTGCCGGCTCCGGGCCGGGAGGGATCCAGCGCCGAGGGGCAGCGGCGGCGGCGGGCGGCGTATAAATGGGAGAGAGGAGGCGCCTCTCGTCGCCGGGCCGGGAAAGTGCAGGCGGAGCGGCCCTGATTGGGCTCCGGGCGCTGAGCAAACAGCGGCTCCGCGGGAGCTGCGGGCGGCCGGGGGGGCACCGCAGCGCTCGGGGCCGGGCAGGGGAGGAGGGGGGCGGGGGGGCCGCGCTCGGCGGTGTCGCTGCCGTTAACCCTTCGTTCTGCTCCTTAGCACCAGAGCGCTGCGAGGGGGAACGCGCACTCCTCCCCGGCCGTCAGGTGAGGCCAAAGCCGTGTGCGAGCCGGCGGCGGTGCGCATTTCTCCGCTGCTTCTTTCTCGTTCTTCTTTTTTTCCTCCCTCTTTTTCTTCCCCCCACCACCACCCCACATCCCCCCACCCTCCGATCCTCTTATCTCAGCTGTGTACAAACTGATAGCGGGAAAGTGAGTGGAAAATTAAAATAACGGCGTTGCCCCGAGGTTATCGCCTGCGGATCTGTCGGCGTCGCTCCGCGAAGGGCGGGGGTGGGGGGAGGGGGGAGAGAACCTAGGGGGGCAGAATGGGGGAACGAGTGGGAACGTTCCTCTGCCGGATTGTAGCTTTACTCGGGGCTCTGTGTGGATACTGATGTTGTCCTACCGGATTAGGAGTTTTGTTTTATTTGTATTTTATTTTATCTTTTTAAAATATATATTTAATTTCATTGCATTGCATTCCATCGTTATTTTTACCTTTCGATGTTTGTTAACTGGCCTAATAATACGTAGAAAATAACCTTTTCGAAGCAGCGATCCTCTGTCTCTTAACGTCCCGCGCTCACTCCCATAGGACTTTGCCACGTAAAACGCTTTTTCTTTCTCCCTCCTTGTTCGTTACCTGCGGGGGAGCCCCGAGCGCGATACAGACGCCGCCTTTCCCCCCACACGTACCGATCCCCGCCCCTAAACGCCGCCGGCTCCACGCTTCCTTTCGGGTCGGGCCGAGCCCCGCGGGGCGCCTACCCCCGGCACGGCTGTGCCCCCCGCAGCCCTGCTGCCGCCAGCTCCTCGTGGTCTCACTCCGTGCCCAAATCGCGTTCTTCTGACGTAACGGTGAGCCCCCAAACCCCACAGCCGGGCGTTGCAATCCCTTAGGGCAACCCCACCGGGCGCTCTTCATCTAAGGGAGGGCCCAGCTGTGAGGGGTCACTTTGGGGACCGTGGCGCTCTCCCCGGGCGGTGTTTATATAACGCCTTGTACTCGAGCGGCGCGGGGAGCCAGGGAGGCCGGGCCGATAACGCAGCGCCCTGAGCCGACGTGCTGCCTGCGCTCTCCTCCGTTCCTTATCCCAGTGCCTTAAAATACGCTGTTATCGCCCCCCCCCCCCCCCCCCGCTGGGACATCGGGTCCGGCGTTATCGCCCGGGCGGCGGCGGGGCGGGCAGCGAGCTCTCCGTCCGTCCCCTCGGGCCCGACGGTTGGCGGAACTCTCCCCCTAAAAGCCCGCGGCGGTTCGGAGGGATGTTGACCGTTCCCTTCTCCCTATCGATAAGGGCTCCCGGGGCCGAAAAGAACATTTCGTTTTCTGCTTCAAAAACCTGCGGGCAGCGCTGCGCTCCCGTTCCTGCGCTAAGAACCGCCGCGGGGGCCTTCCGAGGGACGATACCACCGCACCCAGCCGGGCAATGCCCCCGGCACCGCCTTCCCCTGTGCTTTTGACTTCGGCTTTTTTGTTGTTTCTATTGCCAGCACCGCCGGCAACGGACGTCCCATTGGAAACAACGTTCGTGAGGGACAGTCTGAAACAAAGATGCAATTTACATATATATACACACATATATATAATTACATATACACGCACGAAATATGTAAATATATATATACACTCATATATATACACTCACATATATGTGTGCATATATATATATATAAATATATACACTGTGTATACACATGTATATCTACAGTGTGTGCGTATATATATATACATATATATGTATGAGTATATATGCACACACGAAAATTGCAATCTGACTTCAGCAAAGCCCCTCCCTTGCTCCAAACCAACAGATTTCCAATTGCCGTTCCGAGAGCAGTGGCACAATTTGGCGACTCCGCTGCTGCTCGTCTGGAAGCGTCGGGATCTCTGCCGGGGGCCGCCCGATCCATTCTGTAAATTGAAGTCTCATTCGATCGATGGGTAAAAAAAAAAAAAAAAAAAAAAAAGAGAAGAAGAAGCGAATAGAAGCAAACCAAAGCCGCCACATTGCAGCGTGAGGATCTCAGGGCTGGCTGAGAACACATTATTGAAATAATCATAATTATAATTAAGAAATGCGGATGCAGCGGAACACCCTCACACACCCTCACCCTTCCCCCTACCCCGCTCCCCCTTATTTTGTACTCCTTTTCTCTTTCCTTCTCCCTTTATCCCACCCAAAAGTACCGCCGGCCCCGCGCAGATCCCCGCGCAATCTCCGTCGTTCCCGTCCTGTCCCCGCAGCAGCTTTTGTCCGTTCGCTACGCAAAGGATCGGCGCTTTTCGATTGCCTTAGGAAAATGCCGGTCTGTGTGTTACCGACGCATCGAATTTATTGCTAATTACGACGACATCGGGATCGGAAAGTCCCAAAAGACGCTTATGACCGGGAGGCTGCACTGTTGCCGTCCCATCGCCGCCGTCGGTGTGTTGTAAAGGGTCACAGATGAGTGCATTTGGAGGTGCGAACTGCTCTGTTTCAGTCCGGATTGGATGGACGCGAGTGCAGCCGGGCGTGCTTAGGGGCTGGCTTTGCGCACTGTCATCAGTTCCTACGTTTATCACAGTCGATGATAAAACTCAGGGAAGAAATTAAAGCTTTATCACAGCGGTGCCTGAGTAGGTGGGAGTCATCCCGATGGCTCTGCTTTTCAGCATTCGTAACATTGGCAGGGTGTAAACGGTCCTCCAACTCGGGATGCCCAATGATTCTATGGCTCTAAATCCACGTGCTGGAATCTGCACAGTGGCTATTTCCAAGGCGAAAAAAAAAAAAGAAAAAAAAAAGACGTAGGCATCTTTGATGAGCCCTGAAAATAACAGCATCAGCTGTGTACCAAAACACCTCCGGCAGTTTGTAAGCAGGACTGCATCTGGGTCTTGCACTGAGCTGCTATTCAGAACGGCCAAACAGAAGCTGAGGCATGCACAACTGCAATATCTAGCTGTGAAATAAAGCAATTTAAAAATAAAATTACAAGAAAAAAGCTTTTACTCATTAGAGATTTGTGCGTGTTGCTTGCTTTTACTGCAGCCCAGCAGAAACGTGCACGTTCTGTGGGGCAGGGTGGCTGCCCACTGTGTTTCACACTGGGCTCTGTCAGGTTACAACACCTCTGTGATGCAGGTGCCGGCAGCTGCGTGGGCACTGAGGCTGTGCGGGAGGATGGGGATAGACAGAGGGAAGTGAGGTGGCAGCAGAGGTTCACACTGATGTTCTGTTCTTACGTATTACGTAGGGCAATGCTCTCTCAAGTGGATTTATTTCAGCCCGAACCTGGGCTCCAAGCTGTACCCTTCAGGTTCTCCCTACAGAAGCAGGCACTGCTCAATTCCCAGACCCTGCCTCTTGCTGTGTTCCATTTTCATATCTCCTCAGTTTGGCTTTTGATAGCTTCAACAGAATTGTTGAATGACATTTCCTTCGGTGGGGCTTTTAGAAACAAATTAGCTTCATCTCTGCTTGCAAGGAATAGAAAAACATATTTTTCTGGTGCCTGCCTGGAACCACGCGTGCCTGTGAGGTCCAGAGGGCGACACCTCTTCCACAGCATTTCCTCTAATACACCCATAGAAGAGAAACTAATGGCTGGGAGCTGTGCCTACAAGAAAGCTAAAAACATTCTGTACAAAAATACACTGACCGAAGCCAAGTGTTCGTGCTGTAGGAACACAGAGCTGACTTGGGTGCATCTGCAGAGGGGATCAGAAAGCAAATAGTTTGACCTGAGCTGTAAAGGGAGCACAGAGGGATGGGGCAATGGGCCCCTCACTCAGCAGAAGGAGGGAGAGCTGCCATGGGTCCATCCCACTCTTTGCACAAAGGCAGTATCCAGCAG